TGTATGTCTGAAACTGTCTTTATCTTTATTTTGCACTTATTCTTGGATGGTAGGTTATATTCCCTCAGTCTTTAAAAGATATGTCTTCTTCATCATCTTTTGATATCTGTTGTCTTCTAATATCTATTGCGTGCTGTCAGTTTTACAGTCAGTTTTTGGTAGGTTACCTGTCTTTAGCCTGTGGTAGCTTTTTAGATTTATCATGGGTTACCTGAATCTCGCCATGCTCTATTTAGTTTTACTTATTCCACTTTGTTTTCATTAAAAATACTTTCAAGCTCATGTCTTTCCTTAGTTTCAGGAATTACCAGCACTCACACCTTAAATACTGCTTCTCTGTCATTCTCTCCATTTACTTCTGGAACCCCTCAACTCTTTCTTGACTTATGTTAGCATCTCTTTATTTGTCCCCCTTGTTTCTTAACTATTTTTTGTGTTTTAAATCTGTCTGTCTTTGATGCATTCTGAGTGAACTCCTGAATACTATCCTCTAATTCACTGATTCTATCTTCAGTTATGTCCAATCTAGAGTTTGTCAGGTCTATTAAGACATCTCATATAGCAGAATATTCTATATGTAGCTTATTTCTGGGGTTTCTATTTTTTTTTTCTTATCCACTATTCTACTTTCATCTCTGCCTGTTTTTGTTTAGTTTAAAGTTCTCTTGATGGACGTTAATCTGTTTTGATTTTTTGAGTGTCTTAAACATATTTATTTTAAACTCATATGACCCCAATTTGTTTGCTTTTTATGCTTTCCATAGCTGGCAGAGCCCACTCAAGCCTCTGGTTTCAGTTACCCCATCATGGGAGCCAGTTCTTGCCCCAATGGCCCTGTGGGAACTAAAACTTCTTACTTCTATTGATTTTCAGATATAGAGCCCCAGTAAGCCTTCAGCACCAGCTGTAGCAAAACATATGCTTTGCTCCATCTTCTGCACCATCTGTCTACTTTCCAATTTCTCCCGTTCTTTTTTAAGTTTCAGCAGTCTTCTAGAAGATGCCAGCATATTGGGTGTGACCATCTGTAAATCAGGCCTGACTTTTTCTCCTTCAGTCCACCTGGTCATCAAAAACTCCTCAAGAGGCCACAGGTGTGAGCTGAAGGAACGCTGGCACCGTAGCAGGAGTAGATGCCATGGGAGTCGGGGCTTATGTAATTTACTTATGCCTTTAGGACCTGTTCAAGCCTGATGTCTGTGTATACCCCTTCCCTTCAAAGATGGAATGCTGCTCAGTGCCCACCTTTATGGCTTGGTATTCATGATGGATTGCCCAGATTGCATGGTCACTTAATGCCCCGTGCTTAGGTGTGCCATCTCTACTATAGTCTAGTAGCAAGCCAGCAGCTACTTCTCAAAGCATCAGTGATTGTGTTGGACGAGGGGATGAGTTTGCTCTAAATCCCTAGTGGTCCATTCTGTGATTCTCCTATTAGGGCTCAATAGAGGCTCATACACAGCTTATCTACCACCGATACTTTGAGCACCATAGGAACTGTCAAGCTGTAAGTCCCAGGGGGTTGAGCAGCTGTCACTGCAGCTTAGACCAGCTGCAGGGCCTTCTCCTCGTCTGGACCCCACTCAAAACATACAGCTTTACAGGTGATTTAGTAAAAGGTTAAGAGGAGCACTTTTAAATGTGGTAGAAATTGCCTCCAAAATCCAAAGAGGCCCCAAACTTGAAAGAGCAGATTTGGGAGAGATTTCTGGTCAAGATGGTGAAGTAGGTAATGCTGTGCTTGCATCCTCTAATGATCACATAAAAATTACAACTAAACTACAGGACAACCATCATTGAGAATTGCCTGAAGTCTAGCTGAACAGAGATCCTACAACTAAGAACATACAGAAGAATCCACATGGAGACTTGTAGAAGGGGCAGAGATGTGGAATGGGCTGGTCCCACACCTGTGATGGCAATTAAAAATTGGGAGGGATACCTTGGCTGCAGAGGTCCCCCCTAAGGAGTGAGGGGTCCCAGCCCCACACCAGGCTCCCTAGCCCAGGGTTCCAGTGCTGGGAAGAGGAGTCCCCACAACTCTGTGAAAACCAACAGAAATTGTGGCTGAGTGAGACAGAGTCCCAGGTGTTCCTTTTAAAGGGCCCATACATTGACTTATTTGCTGATGGACTCACTTGTTCTGAGCTCCAGAGCTGGGGCAGCAGCTTGAAAGGCACCAGGGACATATGGGAAGGAACTGAATTGTCTGGCTTAGGGCAAGGGCTGGAGGGGCAGCTTTCCCCCAAAAAAGAAGTGCTAGCAGAAGCCATTCTTCCTTTGTCGAGCCCTCACTATTCCAAGTATGCAGACTTAGGCACCATATCTGAGTCTCTATTAACCTGTGTGACACTGTTCCCCCCTGCCCCATGATTCCCTGAGACCCCGCCCCATCCAACTTGCAGGCCCACCCAAGCCACTTGCATTGGCTTGTCCATACCAACAGCCTGTCTTGGTTAATGCTGAGGACTTTCCTAAAGTCTCTCAAAAGTTCACAAATCCCAAACAAACAGCATCTGGCTCAGTGTACCCCATACTTCTTGCTGAGCAGCCCCAAGCTTGGCATTAGAGGCAGCCAGCCTCGGTTCGAGGATTGGCCTCTCCCAGGCACCTCAAATCCAGCACAGGTGGTAGTCATCTGTGGATTGTTTTGTGGCTCATTCTAGGTGGCCCTGGGCAGGGCACAGGCTGCAGCTGAACTCAGCAATTTAGAAGATAAGGTAGCAGTAAACACCTAATCAGAACAGCAAGAAGAAAGAATCCCCCCCAAAAATTGGATCGTTTAAGGGACCTCTGGGACAACATCAAGCATACGAACATTCATGTCAATGGGGTACCAGAAGGAGGAGGTATGGAGCAAGGAATTGAAAACCTATTTGAAGAAATAATGACAGAAAACTTCCCTAACCTGGCAAAGGAAATAGACATACAAGCCCAGGAAGCACAGAATCCCAAACAAGATGAACCCAAAGAGGCCCACACCAAGATACAACATAATTAAAATGCCAAAGGTTAAAGAAAAAGAATAAATCTTAAAAGCAGCAAGAGAA